TGAACGTAAAGCACTTTTTAAATTAAATTAATTTAAATCTCTGCGTAGAAGCAAAGTAAAAAGACAAAAGTTAAAAAGAATTTTTTCTTCATTCTATTTTTTTTAACAAAACATTTTTATCTTTTTTTAAAAAAAATGCTGCTCCAAATTAACTTATTAATAATGATTTAAATTATTATTATATGAATAATTTTATATAACTATTTTTAATACTTCAAGTATAATAAAATATATATTAACTTGTTTTTATTAAATAAAATTTCTATTAGTAAAATTGTACTAATAGAAACCAGCGACTTTTTTAATTTCACGTTTTTCGTTTTTAACGACCTTGAAACTATTGAAGTTATATTTAGTTAACTTTACTGAATGGATAGAGTATATCATAGTAAATGAACTTATAACCTAAATCAAAACAACCAGTTAAGTTAAGATAATAACTTACAGTTACTCAAGTATTAATTTAACAATTATATTAATTTATTCAATATTCTCGCAAAAGTTAACTATAGAGATGTTTTAATTTAGATCTTACATGTTGTTAACACATAATATAAGCTTGTGCACACTGTGCAGCACAACTATCTAAAAATAAAGAATCTTTGAAATACTAGAATGATTCTTTTATATAATTAACTATTTGTGTCTGAACTTCATACATAAAACCAATGTCATGCTCATTATCTTATGACATGAAGCAAAATGATTTATCTTTAGGCCTGTCATTAGGCATTGTTCATTAAATAGAGGGCAACCGGGTGTAATATGTATTGACTTTGGCGCCAATGCTAACATTAGATTACATTTTGAATCACAAATGTGCAGTTTTCTGCAAAATCACTTAAAACAATACAGCAGTCTTTTGCCAACTTTACTTTTTGTTGCCCTAAGTATCTTGCTTGACATTTTGGAAAGTAGGTATGAACTGTTAATTTGTTTGTTGCCTATGATAACATCAATTTATATTCTTCAGTTGTTGTTCTTTGACAGATCAATGTTTTTCTACTTATTTTATTTTCAATTCAAAAAGTCTTAAATAATGAAATGTAAAATTCTGTTAAAATCATTATTTAAGATGGATGAATGTTTTTAATTTAACTTGCAAATTAAAAATCTTATAGACAAATGTACTTTCTTAAAACATTTAGGAATGATCATTGAATACTGAATGTTAAAAAACCCGATGAAACAAATATAAACCAATTTTTTTTTTGAAAACAATATTTTCAATGTTATCTTTATAAAAAAATGTAAAAAAAAAAAAAGTTTTTTTTTAAAGAAAGTAAAGCATCTCCCCCAGTGCCCTGGAAACCCTGGAAACAATTTTAACACACGTTCACCAGGACTACACAAGTGCTGAAATTTTTAGAGCTCTAGTTTGTCTGAAAAATAGTGAAAAATCTATTGCAAGATTCCACTACAAAAAAGTGGGGCCCATGACCCAGTCCTTCCTCTAGTGTCTTGAGCCCTTAAAACAACTTTAATATGCAGGTTCATCAGCACTACAAAAAAGTTTCAGAGCTCCAGCTAGTCTGGAAGGTAGTGAAAAATTAATTGCAATACACTGCTACAAAAAAAGTGGGAACGCTGTGCCCCATTATCCATATATGGAAATCCATATACTTGCAGATAAAATTTTTCATATTTTTTGAAAGATTAATGAATATAGAATGATGTGTGATGTTAAAATTTTTTTTTTGATATCATCAAGGCTACATGGGTTTCTTGAAAATTAAAATCAGGTATATTTAAAAATTGTCTAAATTTATTTAAGATGATAAATACAGGTACTTAAAAATAATTTTAATACTTTTCAGATATTTCATTGGATTCGCCACATCTGAAAATAGCCAGGTACAAATTTTTAAGTAAAAAGATTAAATATTTTAAAAGTTATAGCACTTCAAACTTCTAAACAAACATCGCAATTCTAAAGGGACAAGAGGGACATGGCCAATATCTGTTAAAAGTAAAGTCGCCATACTTTAGGATCTTCTAAAAGCCAGAGGCTAAAATTTTCAAGGAATTCTTATTTTACTAAGTACTCTCAACTATGTAAAAATCAGCAAAATTTGAGATATAGGGTGTACTTTAAAAAATTTCTGGGTCATTTGACATGGAACTACCATAGACAATAAATCACATTTACTACAAAAGAAATATTGCAATATTGTTGGCATTCCTATATTGACAAATAACAACCCTAATATTCTCAGAAAAACTTAAAAAAAAAAAAACATTGTAAATGTAATTAGACCTGCTTCATCTGCCAAGCTTGAGTCACTCTCTCCTATTGTTGTAAGGTTGAATTTCTTTTATGCTATCATCTCAATAACAATAATCCAAAACTCATTTTTGCTTGGCTTCTTCATCAACAAGTTGCATCTTTTTACTCTATTTGTCCCTTCATGCTATAAAAACTTTTATTATTCCAGTTTTTTCCCTTGCACATCAAAAAAACCTTATAACTTTTACCCATCTTCATGTTTTCCTTTTTTATACAACCTACAACTTTTTAAATCTTCAGTTGACTGTTTTCTAGAATTTTAACTTAACCTTAATTTTAAAGTAACTCATAACATAATGAGTGGTTGCTTGCAAACTTTTTGGAAATGAATTGAAGTTTTAAAATATATAAATAGATGCCAGTATTTATTAAATAGTAAATATAAGTATAAAACTATAATGTATAAAATATTATAAACTTTTTTCTAGCCCCGGCTGCTAAAACTTTTAATTTTGCGGGGCTGGGGATGGGTTTACAAAAAGTCTCATTTTAAGCTAGAATCAGGGCCCAAGTCACTTCCTATTAGAAATGCATTTCTGATGAGCCTTTATTGATAAAACACAGAGTTAAATGAAAAAAGTAATTTTCTACTAATTTATTATTGCTCTGTTTTTTGAAGAACATTGAGTAATCTATTTTTTAAAATACATTAAAAATTATTTGTGTATGTGTGTGTGTGTGTATATATATATATATATATATATATATATATATATATATATATATATATATATATATATATATATATATATATATATATATAAGTTGTGTTGTATTCTGTTGGATTTAATACAGCTTTTTATTAGTTATCTTTGTAAGAGTGATTGATATTTATAAAATAGATCAATTTATATTAAATATTTAAATGAAAGAAATACAACTTTTTTAATGGGACTCTAAATTTCATGCCATTCCGCAATCATTTACATATATTTACAATCATCAAAATAAAAACTGTAAAATATAAAAACATTAAAAAATAAAAAAATTCCGTTGCAACAAGATTAAGTATCAGTATTTACGCCTAATGGGAATTTATTTAACTGGTGTCGAAATTTGATAGCAAAAACATTTTTCTGTGCCTACTTACCGAAACCAATTTACTTTTTTTATTTAAAAAAGGTTCTTTATTGTATGTCAAAATAAAATATTTCTCATTTATGCAAAGATTACATCCTTTTGAGGATGGGGTTGACATTTTATTATGCTACACTTGATTATCGGTTTAACAACTGCTTCTTTAAGTTTCCAGATCTCCTTAGAAAGTTCAGTGTTGTTTTTATACCTAACCATGTTAAATGAATTTTCTAATCAAAGTTTATTTTATGATCAATCTAGAAATTAATGATGAAGGAAAAACTTTTGTTTAAAAGCAATCTTAAAACTAAAAAAAATTAACTTTTCAAGTATTTGCAATATAAAGTTTACTACAAAAATTTTTTAAATTAATTTTTCCTCCAGGTTTGATTATGGTTTATTCAGCAATGCGTTTATATACAGTTAAAAGTTCATTGAGTACATTTGTATATAAGCACTTTCGTAATGAGAAACATGTAACTATAAATAAATAAACTAAATAGTTGAATGTAAAACAAACAAAAAAGTAATTTGAATTAAATTTATTTGAAAAAATTTTCTTATCTTTAACAAGTTTTGGAAATTTTAGGAGTAAAAAATATATAAACAGAGCGATTTTTTTTTAAAGTTTAAACTTTTTAAAAAGTTTAACAAAATAAATTTAAATTTATTAATATTTAATAAATTTAAATTAAATATAATTATATACTTAAATAAAAAATTTTTTAAATAGAAAGTAGAAAGGCTTGATTATGGTTTATTCAGCAATGCTGAATAAACCATAATCATCTCTCATCTTAAATCTAATAACTTTTTTTGAATTTTTCAGTTAACCGTTGCCGCAACAATTTTGAGCTTCCTATATTTATGAACGGTAATGCTTTTAATGCTTGTTTTGCTACTGCAGTGGACCAATAGCATATATTTATTAGCTTTTATTTGCAAGGTTTTTACTTAAGATTAGTAAACGCACTATTTGTAAACTTAATTGATTGATCATACATTACTTGACAAGTAGGGATTTGCACATTTAAATGCACAAAATTTGGGTCAGGGTTTGGTTCAAAGATAAATCAGAAATTGATGCGTTAAGTATTTTGATTTAAAGTGTTAATAGAAACCAGGCTTTTTAAAGTTATTTTCGAAAAGAAAATTATTTATAACTAAATAATTTTTAGAACTTTTGCTAAAAACTATTTTTAATTTGCAGCTCACTCTTACACATTTCTTTAGATACCAAATTGTAAGTGTTTTATTAAGGAATGATAAAATTATAACAATTTAGGTAAAGAGAAACTTCATTTTGACTACAGTTTCTTCAACAAATCTATATATCAAAAATTTGTTCCTTAAAACCATATACACTTTTGTAGAAATTTTCAAATTTTTTTAATTTTTCACCTTTAAAACATTGTAGTAATCTTTCCAACGATTTATAAGAATCTAGTAATAATTAATTCAATAATTTCATATAACATACCTAGCTCAATGCTTTAACATATACGCTTGAACATGTATTAGAGACTGTAAAAAAATTTTGAACTGACTGTAAAAAAATTTTTGACCTGGCTGTAAAAAATTTTTGATCTTTTGATAAAGTCAAATTTTTATGAAAAATATAAAATAAAAGATTTACACGAATCTTCCAACTCGCTGTCTTCAGAATCCTCAGAAATATCGTTTTCTTTTTTATTATCCTCTTCTTCTCCACAATCTATTGTAGGACAATCACAACTATCTTTCTCCAATTCTTCCATACTATCTTCATCAAGGTTTAAGCAAATATCTGTATGTTTCATCATCTAAAAATAATATAACTTAAATTATTTATGTAATTCGTTTTTTCCTATTTTATTTTGGTATTCTATCTTGAGCATTTTTTTATTTTTTTAAAGTTGATGAAACCGCAATGTTATGTGTTGTCTTAAAGTCCGCAAAATCTCGGAATATGAGGAAACCGGGAAAAACGTTCGCGATACCAAGTGTTCCAGATTTTAGCTCACAAGCGGAAATAAAGTTCAAGATACAAAAAAGTTCGAGTAGACGAGATACAGAAATAATAAAAATAATAAAAAAAAATTTTCAGTTAAAAATTTTTTACAAATTATTATTTTTCTATACTCGTTGTCAATGGACCATTCATTATTTCCCTTACGCTCCTTAGATCAGAGGGGACAATTTTTCAAAAAAAAAGGATTCTAGGTTTTCCTTTGTTTTCTTTCGCTTTTTTGGGAATTTTTTTACCGTCGAAGTAATTTTTTTTTAAAAGAGTTTTATTTTATACGCTAACGCATTTTTTTGTTTTGTTTTGTTTTTTGTCATAAGTAACTTTTAGACACCCATAGGCATAGAAAATTATTTATAGCCCTTATTTTTTGCCCATGGTTGACACTTATTATAGTATAATAGGCATCAACCATGGGCAAAATATTTGGGCTATAAAAAATTTTCTGTCATATAATTTATATGACAGTGAGCCAAGTAACATCAATTAGGAAACAATAAATCGTGATAACGCTATTCAAGCTATTCATAATTTTTGTCTTCGACATTAAAACGAAAATCCAGATTGCACAAAAGCTTATTACAACACTGTTTTATGACAAAAAAAAACTTACTTTACGACAAAAATTTGAACAAGTGTTTTGCTAGCAGGGTATTACCTTATTTGCTGTGGTCACAGCTATTAGACTTGTTATTATTTTAATCATTCTCGGTAGTGTCCCAAGTTCAAAACTATTAGCCAATAAAAAGTAAAGTAAAGTTAAAACCGATGACATATATATAATATATAATATATATATACTTATATGTACGTATATATGTCTATATATCTATATATATATATATATATATATATATATATATATATATATATATATATATATATATATATATATATATATATATATATATATATATATATATATATATATATATATATATATATATATATATATATATATATATATGTACATATATATGCATATATATATATATATGTACATATATATGCATATATATATATATATATATATATATATATATATATATATATATATACACATACATACATATATTACTTTTCTTTAGATGAATAAAAATAAAAAATTAAACATTGAAGATGCTCTAGCATACATTCTAGATGGTGAAAGTGATTTTGAGGATCTGAGTGAGTCAGACTCTGATTTTGAACCTGATCTTTCGACTGCAGTTGTAAGCAGTACTAAAATTGTGCATGATAACAACAATGCCAATATACCTTTACCCATTTCGGAGTCTCTTACCCAAGAAAGCAGTACAGACGATGATATGCTTTGTTTCAACTCCTCACCTCCACCCAAAAAAATTAAAAATAATAAAAATAAAAAGAGGTTAAGAGTTTAACCACATTGGAAAAAAGTTCCACTTGATAATGACTTGATTGGTAATATTACTTTTCAAGAAGTACCTATTGAACCTATTCCAGATGAAACTACCACTCCATACGAATATTTTAAAATGTTTGTTGATGACAATCTTATCGACATTCTTGCTGAACAATCTAGTTTATATAGTTGCCAGTCATCAGGTACAAGCATTTGTGTCACATCCAATGAAATAGAATCGTTTATTGGTGTTTATTTTCGTATGGGTCTTGTGAAACTACCATCAGTGAGATCTTATTGGGAAATCTTTATGAATTATGATGGAGTAAGCTCAGTATTATCAAGGAATAGATTTCTTTCTATTCTTCGCTATTTACACTTTGTTGACAATTTAAAAGTAACAGATGAAGTAAAGAAAAATGATCGGGCCTGGAAATTAAGACCTTGGTTGGAAAAACTGAGAGAAAATTTCTTAAAAGTTTCTCCTGAAGAAAATCAATCAGTTGATGAGATAATGGTTGCCTTCAAAGGAAGGTCATTTTTGAAGCAATATGTCCCAAATAAACCCAATAAGTGGGGGTTTAAACTTTGGGGTAGATGTGGTGTCAGCGGGTATTTGTATGACTTTGATTTATATCAAGGAAAAGAAATAAAAAAGAAAGATGAATATTCTCCTCATGGTATTGGGGCATCTGTTGTAATCAAAATGACCTCAACTTTGCCAGAAAATCATATTTTTAAAATATTTGCTGATAATTATTTTTCTTCTTTGCCTTTGCTAGATGAACTGAAAAAGCGTTGAATATGGTATGTTGGAACAGCACGCCTTAAACGCCTTAACAAATGCTCATTGCCTTCAGAAAAAGAATTGAAAAAGCAAGGACGTGGATCATTTGACTATCGTACTGACACCATTTCTAATAACATAGCTGTTAGTTGGATAGATAACAAGGCAGTAACTTTAATTTCATCTTTTGCGAGTATTGAACCAATCAATACAGTGAGGCGTTATGACAGAAAAACCCGCAAATATATTATGGTAAAGCAACCTTACATAGTCCAGTTTTATAATAAAAATATGGGTGGAGTTGACAAACTGGATATGATGTGCTCATTCTACAAACCAAATTTGAAATGCCATAGATGGTATGTATATATATGGGAACATACCCTTCTTATTGCGTTATCAAATGCATGGTTTTTGTATCGTCGGGACTTAAAAATTATTTGCCCCACTAAAAAATTCATGCCTCTAAAAAAGTTTCAAGCTGCAGTAGCTTCTAGCCTGATAGCTGTTGTAAAAAGTAAAGCTGGAAGACCATCACTTGATGCAATACCTCTACCAACCAAAAGACCTGCTGCTGTTCAGAGTAATCCTACAAAGGATATCCGGTTAGACGGATTTGATCACTTACCAACTTATAGTGACAAACGTCAGCGATGTAAGAAATGCAAAACCGGTTTTTCCTATATCTGTTGCAAGAAGTGCAATGTTTGGCTATGCTTAATTAAAGACAGAAATTGCTTTCATGACTACCATTAATGGCATTTAAGATTTGTTTTTATAACTTATATTTATATTATAAACGATTGTTTACTGTAAATGTATATTTATGCTGAAAATGTTTTTTATTTGTATAGAAGAGAGTTAGTCAGTTCAAAACATAAGTAAAAGTTTATTTTTCTGTTAAATTGCTTTAATTTGTTCTTTAAATTTAAAAATAATCTCTTTTTTTTAAAAAAAACTATATTTATAATTTAATTCCTCATATTCCCATTGTTGCAGATATGCTACAATTAAATAATTGACTTTGCAAGTGAGATTTTTGGCTTTTATTATTTTATTCATAATCTAGGTCCTAAAACAGTTGGTTTTTAAAGGTTTCGGAATTTTTAGAAAAATTTAGGCTTTGGTGGGCGCTAAAGGGATATATATATATATATATATATATATATATATATATATATATATATATATATATATATATATATATATATATATATATATATATATATATATATATGTATATATACGTAAGTGAATATATATGAATAAAGAAAAAAATTAAAAAAAACTTTATATTATCATGCATAATATTGTATACTTAAAAGAATGTTCAACAGATAAATGAGAGCTATAAAGTGTATATGTTACTATATAGTGTATATGTTAAACTATATTATAAACATTAGCATTAAGCTAATTGCTGGTACTGTGGGTAACAGTATATATATATATATATATATATATATATATATATATATATATATATATATATATATATATATATATATATATATATATATATATATATATATATATATATATATATATTTATATATATTATTTATAAGTTTACATTTTTTATAAATTTTTTACTATTAAAATACTTTAATGACCTTCAGAGAGTCCTTTAAAGGGCTTTCTAATGATACATTATATATCAATAGATGATTAGATTATATATCATACCATAGATTAGAGTACTATACATATGTATATATATATATATATATACATATGTATATATATATCATATTATATTATATCATAGATTAGGTATAGATATAGATTAGGTATAGATGATTAGATTATATATCATATCATAAACTACAGTACAATATATATATATATATATATATATATATATATATATATATATATATATATATATATATATATATTTATATATATATATATATATATATATATATATATATATATATATATATATATATATATATATATATATATATATATATATATATATGTACGTGAGTAAAAATTTCAAATTGTTTGAATAATATAATGTTATATATCATTAGAGAGAAGACTACTACAGTATTTTAAAGGTAAAAAATTATCAAAATCGAACAATTAGTTCAAAAGTTATGACGGTTAAAGTACCGATTTTTCTATATATGGATTTGTTGAAGAAACTGTGGTCAAAATTATGTTTTTCTTCAACTAAATTGTTTTAACTTTGTCAATTGTTATCAAAATACATAGTCTTGGTATGAAAAGATAGGTGGAAGAGTGGGCTACAACTATATGTTAAACTCTAACCACTGGACGTATCGGTTCGACAGAGTTTTTCACCTAAAAGCTAATTTTAAATTAGAAACTTTATTATAAAATTAAATTATAACATTAACATTGCAAAAAATAAGTTATGACTAAATAACAAAAATAGTTTAAAATTTACTTACTTATTACTTTTATAAATTGTCTATAGAAAAAAAAAACAATAACTCAATAAAAAGAAAAAATCAATCAGGAATACATAAATAAACAACTGTAAAAACATTGTGGATAATTGTAGCATAATAAAGATCTTTAAATGAATACTGAAAGCAGAAGACTAAATACTAAAATAATAAAGCACAACAAAGAAACTGACTTATCCTCTCAAAAGCATTATCTAAAAAACAATTGAAAAACTTTTTTTAACAAAATAATACAAACATTTGTCTAGACTATATCTACTGATCTTAAGTTAAAAGATACAAATAGATATTGAATGTGTAAAATAACTAACTAATACTGTTGGGTGCCTCCATTGGAGGGACCCATCATGATACAACAGTAGTAGCATATTGCAATTTTTATTGGAGCATGATACAACAAGTAGTAGCAAATTGCAATTTTTATTGGAGAGGCAAAAAATACACCCTGCTACAACTTTTTTTTCAATGAAGTTTTTCAGGTGCATAGATAAATGAAAAACTTAAATGAAAAAATAGTATAGAAAAAAGAAAGAGTATATCTTCGACATTAATTTCATGTCCAAAGTACAACGAAGTTTTAGACATAAAAAAACTCTATAAAAAACTATCTAGTAAAATAATAAACCTAACAGTAATAAAGTTTAACTATTCTAGTTTCTAAAAATAATCTATGTTGATATCAAACTGTAAAAAATTTTCCAACTAAGCACGTCTGCCATACGCTAACTAAAAAAAAATTCTAAAAAGCGTGGCACAGTTAGCACAAAAATCGGTTTCGTAAAACAAGTATTTCACGTGCCTAATATATACATGGCCGTAGAGAGGGGGGGGGTCAGGGAGTATATTGTCCTGGGGCTCGGCTCTGTTCAAGGGCTCGGACTTGTGAATTATAAAGTATTATACTTGCCTTTTTTAAATATACTGCATTTGGATTGGTTGTTTTAATTGCAGTTTTTAACATTAGTATCACCGTAAACGTTAAATTTAAATGCAAAACATAATAAATATTTTATAAATTTTATAAGCTAAGTTATTCGGAAATAAATCAAAAGGAAAATATCTCAAGAAAAAAAATATGTAGTAAAAAATATACTTTGAACACATTATTTGGAAGCATTTATAGTTTGTATAATTCGAGTACTTTAGATCATTTGCAGAACATTAAATGACTTGCGGTATTTTAAAATAAAAGACAAAGAACGCCAGAAAATTGTCTTATTGATTCTACAGTTTAGTTTATTTTTATGTTAAAGTTTAATCAGTTGTATATGGAGTTTTATTATAAGGTATAAAACATTCAATTATAAAAATTGCTTTATTTAATAAATTATATGACGCTTAAGATCAGTGACGTAGCGAATATTTTTGCAACCGGGGCAAAAATGAAATAAATGCGCCTTTTTAGAATGAAATTAAGAAATTATTACTTTTTATGTTAAAATTGGTTTCATTTTTTTTTTGCTCCTCAATTTTTTGTGCCTCTTAAAGCCTTCGCGACAGGGGCCATTTCCGCTTTGGTCTCCCCTCACTACGCTAATGTTTAGGAGTGTTTATTACAGATATTGCTTTATAAAACATACCATCGATATATCAATGACATTTCTTTAATATGTTATATTATATCATATAGAGAATGTTTTATTTACCGGAATGATAATTAATGCCAATTTATATAAAATCTTATTCAGTAGTCAAATAAAAAATGAACTACCATCACAAATCTGCATCTCAAAAAAGGAAAGAAAAATTGTCGAGATTGAAAAATGTAAATGAAAAACAATTTCAACTTCAAAGTTATAGATTTTCAGTGTTTTCGAAAGAGAAAGATTTAGAAAATGAATATCATAATGTAGAAGCTAATTTTAACAATAACGACAACGTTGTCAAACAAGATTGCAGATTTGATTAATGTGACTGCCGACTTTCCAGATCCTGATAACATAGAAAATAAAGATGACGTGGAGCCCGGCAATCTTTTAGTTCCTATCAACAATATCTCTGAGAATTATAAATCAAATATAACTGATAATAAAATTACTGAAACAAAACTGCTTGACTTTGATGTTGGTAGTCTAAAAAATAAAAGACCAAATGCTTCTGAAATTGAGGAAGAAGTTCGTAGGGGTCCAGAAAAGATCCCATCTCAATTTTCAAAAGATGTGAACGGAAATTCATTTCCTGTTTGTATACTACATACAAGTATGAAAAACGGAGAATATGTTCCCCGTGATTGGCTTGTTTCGACCAAAGTTAAACAATCGATATTTTGTTTTCCTTGTCGCCTTTTTAGCAAGCTACCAACAGCAAGTCGCACACGTTTAACAACTATATCTGGGTATTGTTTTCAAAAAAAAATGGAAAAAATTACATGACAAAAATCCAGAGCATCAAAACACCAGCAACCATAAATATTGTTATATTAAATGGCGGCTATTGGAAAAAAGTATTGCCTTTAATTCCACTGTCGATGTTATGCTGCTGCAGACCATTAAGAATCAAGCATCACAGTGGAAACAGGTTCTTCGCCGAATTTTAGATGTCACTTTGTTTCTAGCCGAACGAGGTTTGGGATTTAGAGGAACAAGTGATTTAGTTGGTTGCTGTAATTTTTTGGGCATTTTAGAGCTCTTGAGCCATTATGATTCTGTCGTGAAAGACCATCTGAACAAAGTGATGAAGTCGCAGAAATTAAAGAGAAGACAACATGCAAATTACCTTTCACCGGAAATACAAAATGAGTTTATAGAGTGTTGTGCCAAAAAAGTATTATAAGTTATTCTAAGTGAACGAGAAGCAGCAAAATATTACTCAATACTTGTTGATGCAACCCCTGATTCAGCACATATGGAAGAAACTCTATTCATATTGCGTTATGTTTATTTAAAAAAAGAAAATAGTCTCTACGAAGTTCAAGTGCGATTTCTAGAGTTTGTTGACTGCAATCAGAAAACGGGGAAAGCTATTGCTGAATTAATTTGCAGTGTTATTAAAAAAAACAATATACCAATAATAGACTGTCGTGGTCAGGGTTATGACAACGGTAGCAACATGAGCGGTCAATATAAAGGAGCACAAGGAGAGATAATTAAAGAGAACCAATTAGCAATTTATTCTCCATGTGCTTGTCATAGCTTAAATCTGTGTGGTGTCCATGCTGCAGAGCGCTGTGCAGAGGTTATAAACTTCTACGGTGTTGTGCAAAAGACTTATAACTTGTTCAGCTCTAGCCCGCAAAAAATGGAAAATTTTAAAAGAAAACATTGGATGCTCTTTGCATAGCATGTCAGATACACGTTGATCAGCCAGGATTGAAAGTGTAAAAACTTTTGTAGAGCATGTTCTGGTTTAAAGAGTGCTATCCAAGACTTAAAGAAGCTAAATCTTACTGCCGAGACTCGATCAGATATCAAACGTATTGAAAAATACTTGGGTTCATTTGAGTGCATTATACTCGCAAGCACTTGGTTTAAAGCATCAATTACAGAAACACAGTTCTGCAAGCCAGAGATGCAACTTTAGATGTGGAGGTTTTAAATTTAAAAAGCTTAATTGATGACCTCTTATTATTGAGAAACAACTGGGATTCAATTTTAAATGAATGTAAACTTGTTGCCGAAAATCTGGGTATGGTTTCCAATAACATATTCCCGGAGAAAAAACGCAGCCGAAAAGCTAGATTTTCAGATGAGGAACAGAATAATAAATTAGGCAACACCAGTACAGAATTTTGTTTCAAACGCGATGTTTTTTTTGTTCTTTTAGACTGTGTCATTGGTAATATGAATCGGCGTTTTGAGGCAGCCAAAGATCTTGAGGAAACATTTGGTGTTGTACGGAAATACATGACATTAGATAATCTATTTGCGTTAAATACAGCATTGATGTTTCTCTCGATTTAATAGACGAGTTAGAACATTTAAAGGCAATTTATGCATCAAATCTTGGCATAATACAATTATCGCCGTTTCAATTATTAAACAAACTCCATTAGTTGAAGCTTGATTTTCTTTTCCCAAACATTTTAGTTGTTCTTAGAATTTTTTGTACACTTCCAGTTACCGTTGCACAAGCAGAACGCTCTTTCAGCACGCTTGCAAGAGTTAAAAATGTTTTACGTTCTACGATGTGTCAAGTTTGACTTTCTAATTTGGGAAGACTAGCGATTGAGGCGCCACTTGCAAGGAAACTAGTCTTTGATGCAGTTATCGAACTTTTTGCAAGAAAAAATTCTCGCAAAGCTTATTTTGGTTAATTGCAGTACAATTAAATACAATTATTTATTTTGAACTCTTAGAATTCAAAATATTCTTTTTTTAAAAGAAAACCAAAGAATGTACTTGTTTGTCTGTAAAACTCTCTTAGAGAAATTAGAGTCTTTATTAATACTTTTTATTTTAACTTACTTTCTCTTCTTTTTTATATTATATCAAGTTAATTACTTACAGTAAAAATATTAAAGAAAAAGCTGCTTAATTCAAAAGCTTTTTATTAAAAACTTTTTTGCTAAATAAACTTAGTTACTCCGCGCAGCGGCCTTGCTTGCTAAAGTTCGTGTTTCTGAGTTAAAGAGTTGAGAGAGGGTTGTACCACAATTAACAACAAAATATAAAAAATAAAAACACAAAAAAAATGAGTAGCCTCCTCGACTATAGTGACCCCTCAGCCTTGGGAAGGTGAATAATGTAAAAAAAAAAGGTCTTACAAATGCAACTTGTTAAAAAAATGAAAGGATTCGTTGACCAACCTAACTAATTAAAAACACATCTAGTCCTAGACTTTAAGATTGATTTTGATTTAAGTTAGATTAAAGACACGTCATAGACTTTAAGTTTGATGTTTTCAATATGGATATGAATATTAATGTAAAAT